AACTAACTAAAGTAAAAGATATGGAGTAAAAATGCTTAATATACATCGAAATTTCCTCATGAGTGTGCTTGTTCTGCATCAGTGTGTAACTCACCACAGTCTGGTGGTTACCTGTTTTCTGTAATCTGGTTAAATGTCAAACTCAAATCAACCTGAGTGTCATTTCTCTTTAGTTCTCATCTCACTGCTGAGCTGCACAACAAACCAAGGTCAGTAACCTTCTTCTGTCACAGTTTAAACCTGACATAAACGACACATAAAGTCCTTTTTTGTGCTTCGCAGTAGCATGATGTGATAATCATCACAGTAATTTATCACTGGGGTATGGTAATGATTGACCTTATTATAGCTTCAGTTGCACTAAATCATCCAGCATTTGATGTTAACCAGAGACACAGATTATCTGACACTTATTGGGTGATTGTTATTGACAACAAGAGGATAATTTAGTTTGTGTACTTGATGTATATCCTCTTCCAAGCTCGTCTGACTGTGAGTCCCAGCAGCTCTCAGCTGTTTGAAGGGCAGTCTGTGTCTCTGAGCTGTGAGGAGGACGACAGCTCTGCTGGATGGACTCTGAGGAGAAACACAAGCACAGAAACCAAAGCTGAGTGTGACAAGTGGGGAAAACCAGCTGGTTCTTCCTGTAACACAAGCGGTGTCCTCTCATGGGACAGTGGAGTGTACTGGTGTGAGTCCAGAGAGGGTCCCATCAGTAACATGGTTAACCTGACAGTCACTGGTAAGCTGAGTGTGTGGAGTTAGTGTTGATGAAGCTGTGTGTAAATGGATGAAATGCTGTAGTTTGTCTCTGTGTTGAGGTGGATCAGTGATCCTGCAGAGTCCTGTCCTCCCTGTGATGGAGGGAGATGACGTCACTCTGCTCTGTAAAACAAAGACCACTCCCTCCACAGCTGCTTTCTATAAAGATGGCTCCCTCATCAGGAAGCAGCCTACAGGTCACATGACCATCCAGCATGTTTCCAGGTCTGATGAAGGCCTCTACAAGTGTGACATCAGAGGTCATGGAGAGTCTCCATCCAGCTGGATCACTGTCACAGGTGAGGAGCTTCACTCTGATTTCACCTCTTATTTCATCCACATATTCACCTGAACATGTGAGATTCTCTCTGCAGGTAGATCTACAACCACAAGCTCATTCTTCACCTCTACAACCCCACCCCCAGCTTCAGCCCATCCAGATGACCTTGTGTTGAGAGTTTTCTTCTACCTGGTGGTGTTCACTCCATACTTCATCTCTACTCTCCTCGTGGTGTCTTTGTATCAACACAGAGCCAAAGGTAACAGTCTAAATTACCTTGATTACATACTGTGGTCAGTTCAATGTAAAAAAGTCTCATTGCGTGCTTTTTCTTTTCGTGCCCCATTCTTGTGGAACAACCTCCCTCAAAATATTAGGCAGCCATGCTCTGTGGATGTTTTAAAACTAAGTTGAAGACACATCTGTTCACCCTATCTTACATGTCTTAAATCTATGTCTTTTAGTTTTTAAATTCTTACTGTTTTTAACTTGTACTGCTATTTATCCCTTTTATTTATCCATCTTTTTAGTTTCAAATAGCTGTTCAGCACTTTGTTTAAAAGCGCTTTATAAATAAAGTTATTATTATTATTATTATTATTAATTACCTCATCTAACAGGAAATGATGAGCTCATCTCTAAGGTAACAGCCCCGCCCACTCAGGCTGGGCAGAGATCAGCTAAGGACTTCGATGACATCGTGGCGGTCACCACTGAGCATCACTTCTGAGCTTCAGAGACTCATGATATCAGATCACTGTGTTTGAATTATATGTGAAATCATTGCTTTAAGATGGAACTAAAATGTAAGATATACACACTCTTCATTTTAGTGCAATTTAAGAGTTGTTGTGCGTTGCAGAAGTCAATGAAACTGCTATCTTTGTGAACTGTTGGGTTATGTTTATAGAAGTTTCTGGTATCCTCTTGAAACTTGGTATTACGACAAAATGTTTAACGTTTAACCAGATTTATTGAAAACCTGATGAATTGGCATCATTATTTGGCAAAGTTAACATATAAACAAGTGTGACAGCCAAAGAAAGAAACCAAAACTCCTGTCCTCCCACTTTCAAGCCACCTTATCAGACTTTCCACAAGAAGAATCAAGGACGCTTACTGAAAAAGTAAAAGTGTGATTTAAATGTTTAATATATTATTGTTGGAGCTATTTGTTCTTATTTTTTATTATTTTGAAATTAGTTAAAGTTTGTTGTTAGTTTACTTATATTTTGGGGTTTATTTACAAGTTATTTGTTGGTTAATATTTTGTTTCAATGTTTGTTTGATGTTACTTTGTTAAATTAGTCAGTAAGAGCTGTAGGGCCATTTTGTTTTCTATAAATAAAGAGACTGGTAGAGGACCAGCATGCACTGGGGTGGGCCTATGGTTTTTTAACAGAGCAGGAGAAGCAGCAGGAAGTAACAAAAAAAGGATCTTGTTATTGCTTGCCAAACTGGATAAATAAACCATCAAAACGCAACTTTCAAGTTTGGACAGTGGACTTCTTTTGCCTGCGTACGAAATAGTATCTCAGTGCAGCAGTGGCTTGTGGACTTTTAATTGTGGGATGTTTGGTTTGTCAAACAAAAGGAATTGCCACTACAATTATTACTATATTATAATATTATTATTATTTATATCTATTGAAAGAGTTGTTAACCAGAGATTTGACTAACAGTGTCTAAATTTAGAAGCAGGTAAACAGCCACCAGTTCAGACACATGAACCGAGACCTGTCCAGCCTAAAACACTCTTAAATGTGAAATCATACATTTAAACAATATCATTATAGCTGATTAGCTTTCCTTTCATCATGATCACCTGTTTGAAATGGAATCTCTTATTCGATGATTTTCCTTTTGATTCTCTACCATGTGACCTTCACCTTGGTGTGTTTGTCACTAAGAGTCAGACTTATGAGTGAAAAATGCTTTTACTGTTTAAAAATGAGAAATGTTCTACAGATGGATGTGAACCTGTCAGGATAAGGTGGCTTAAAAGTAATGAGAAACTCTCAGTTGCTCCTAAATTTCACCAAAATTTAACTAGGTCTGAACATTTACGCCCTCCACATCCTTTTGAATATCATATGATCAAATGTTTGAATATGATTTTGCAAAGTTTCGTGGTTGTTAGCAATACCCACTGTGTCTGATACTGAAAACATAAATGTGCCAAGAAACAGAAATTCACAAATTTAGTCAGTCACGGCACACCTTAAAAACAAAACAAAACAAAACAAAACAAAAACACATTTATTTTATGTATTTACAGCAAGCGTATTTAAAAAAAAGTATTAACTGGACAGAATTTTGAGTCCTGCGTGGTAGACTTGGTGTTTGTTCTTCCTGCCACATGACGCATTTGTTTCCACCCATCGGGGACACTTGTTAGCATCATCCTCCAGCTTCATTGTGCTAACGTGTTTATAATAACCTCCCCATAGCTGTGAAGCTACCAGGCATGACACAATTATTTCACAACTTCTACAACACTTCAAACATTGGCTGCTGTTTAGTTTTGTTCAATGGAACATTTCTAACTTTCAGTGATGGCACATTGTTCGTGTTTGTAAAACCAAAGAAGAATTTGTATCCATAAATGACTAATGATGTGCATTAGAACAACAAGAATAACAATGACAATAAAAAGTAACACAGCACACACAGACACATCATCTATATTTGAAGGAGACCTGTCCTCATCCCCTCTGTCATTGTCTCTCCACATCTGTTTATCCTCTTCATCCATGACACCTGCAGAGCAGACACAGTGTGAGGACAAATGTAACAGTTGTGTACTTATTACATTAGTATTGTCACCCTTTGAAACATGTCAGCAGCTCGTTCAGAGGCTTTGGGGCACATGAGAAGAAATAAAATCAACCAAGCTGAATTTTTTTGTATTTGTTGATATCCTTTTC